GGGAGGCCGGGCGGCGGGAGTTGGGGGGCAGCCTGTGGGAGGCGCTGGAGAACCGGTGGCAGCAGCTGCAGGAGCAGATGGAACAGCGCATTTGGGCCCTGCATGGGCAGCACGAGGTGGGGCCGTGGCTGGTGGGGGGTGCAGGCAGGGGCAGCACAGGGGCTCAGCCACCTCCCTCAGCAGCAGGAGTGCCGGCTCCTGGAGCAGTGCCGCGGCCTGGACGCCGCCGTGGTCCAGCTGACCGAGTTCGTGCGGCAGAACCAGACATCCCTGAACCGTGTCCTGCGAGCGGAGCAGAAGGCGCGGTGGGTGTCCTAGAGCTGCCAGGTGCCGGGACACTTAATGTCCTTGCTGGGCCCAGTGCAGCAGGGGACAGTTCCCTAGCCTGTCCCTCGTGGGGTCACAGGCAGCCCTGTCATCGTCTGACTTCAGCTGGCAGCCAACTCCCCTCGCTGGCCCGGCTTGGAGAGGTAGGCCAGCTGGGCTGAAGGACAATCTCGGTGGCACCCACCCCCAGGGATGCCAGGGAGCACTCGGAGCAGAGCCAGGCTGGCGAGTTGGCCTCCTACGTGCAGGAGAACCTGGAGGCTGCGCAGCAGGCTGGCGAGCTGGCCCGGCAGGAGACGTGGGGCGCCCTGGAGCTGGTGAGGGGCCACATCTCAGGCAGGGCCCCAGCACATGGGCAGAGCAGGCACTTAGCGAGCCTCCCTGCTCCATGTCCCCGCAGCTCCGAGAGAAGAGTCAGGCCCTGGAGGTGTCGATGGCCGAGCTGGCCCGGCAGGTGGAGGACCTGAGTGACCATTTCCTGGCCCTGACCTGGAGGCTGGAGCTGCAGGAGCAGACGCTGGGCCTGAGGCTGTCCCAGGTGAACCCCCAGTGAGCTGCAGGACGGGGGAAGGGAGCAGGCCTCACCCCACTGCATCCCTGGGTGGACCTAAGCCTCCCACTCCACCCAGCAGCTGTTTGTGAGGCCGTGATCTGAGCCTCAGTCCTGAGGCAGGGCGTCCTGTCCAGCCAGGCCCGAGAGCCTGGAGCTGAGGCCGCCCGTCCTGACCCTGTGGGGTCTCCTAG